TCATGACCAAAACATTGTTACCATGACAGAAATCCTAATATAAGGAAATCTAGAAAAGCAGAAGGAGCCATTTTGTTTGACTCTCATGTTCTGTTTAAAGTCAAAGTCTCTGAATTTAACATATTTATCCATTAAAATAAGAGTTTACCAGATTATAATCCAAACAGCATAAAGTTTGAGGGAAAGTTTTATAAAAAGATTTTTGACCTGAGTTGGAAATATCAGCTGAAGCGGCCATTTCATCAGCTTCACTCTGTCGACTCTCTGCTTGTTTGTTCCAACAAAACCTGTTTCTAAATGAAACTAAATGGAGCAGAAGGAATGTTGTTTATGTTGAAGGTTGGATGATGAAGTCAAACAAGGTCAGAGATCGCCATCTGCTGGACAACTAGATTAACTACAGGTCTACTGAGGTTAAGAAGCAAAGACATTGAAGTTAAACTGCTGATGTTAGAAAAATAAAAGAGGAGAAAATCAAATAATCAAATCATAATTTAATTCTTCAATGATAGTAGAAGAAACCAGTTACAGAAAATCAGATCCAGCTTCTCATCACAGCAGTTTATTTGTCTCAATAGTCCTGATCAAGTTTGCAGACTAAGAAAACATCTAACATTATTCTGTCAGTGACCAAGTAACCATGTGGCTTTAGATGAATGCTGCTGGAATTAACTTCAAACTGAGCAGAGAAAGTTGAGTTTGACCTACAGAGGTCTGCAGTTTTAGCAGAAGCATTTAACCAGAATCTTCTATTCAGCAACAATAATCACAATCATCAGACTTTTCTTTTTCTTTAATCCAATGCTTATGGCCATACTGCTCTCTGCAAGCCTGTTCCTGTTCTGATCATAGAAGCTAAGCAGCGTCAGGCTTGGTAATTACATGGATGGGAGACCATTCTGGAATACCAGCTGCTACAAGCTGAACCTGAACTAATATTGAATAGCTTTAGTTCACATAGAGAGCAACACATTTATGGAGCATAATCCCAGAAACAATAACAGAGAAGGTAAAAACAAACAGGTTTAAATCACTATAAAAAGTTCTTTATTTGTAGAGAACATTTACAGAAAGCTATGAACTATATTATGTTTTAATGTGTTGTTTGCTATCTTCATTTACAATTTATTCTATTGGACCCCAGAAACAGCAGCAACAGCTTAGCTGTGCTGATGAGGATCCCAACAATAAAATAATATCCAATAAATAAGTTTGCTCTGCTTAATGGTGGCTGTCTGTTAAAGACTCCAATCAATGTTTGTGGTTAATGAACTTCACATTATCTCCTAAAACTGTGTAGAACTAAAGCATCCAGATCCATTTGAGGAACAACCCTGGTAACGTTTGACTTCCTGGATCAAAGTTTAAGTCTATGTCTTTAAATGGCTGCAGATCACAGGGATTGTTCAGAGGAAATGTTTCCTAAATTTGATCTGCTATAAATATCACTGTGACTTTGGAGGTGGAAGAATGAAAATCAGATGTTTTTCATTTAGATATAGAATTTAAAGACCTTTTTAAAATTAAGCCTGCTTCTTGGTTTGTTTTTACCTCAAAGTTTAGCTTCGGTTCACTTGTTTGATTAATCTTTTTTAATATTTGTAGCAAATATTCAGTGTGGATGTAAATCCAGGATGTTATTTTATACAGTCCTAGACTAGTAGATAAACTGTTATTGTAGGATCATTAAAAAA